GTTAGGTTGTCCTTGAAGGATTTCGGATGAAGTCAAAGAAAAATTGAGACTATGAACCAATGTCCTCTTAAGATAGTGTAGGACGTGTATTAGTGTCATGTAATTAGGGTTGCAAACCAGTCGAGTCGAGCCGAGCCCGAGCCTGAACATAGTCAGGCTTAGACTCGTTTAAGTTATACGAGGTTTTGGCTCGAGCTCGACTCGATTCAAGCTTTCTTGTAATGAGCTTGCCTCGAGCTCGTAAAGAATTATACAAGCTCGGCATGGGCTCGATTTTTGCTCGTTTTTTCAACATGCCTAAGTAAGCTTAAATTTGGTTCAAGTTTGTTAACAAACTCGTTTATTAATATTCTAATTCCCCAAATAGTTTATATTTTAATATATAAAAATAATAATAAATTATATTATATATAGACTTGTTTAGGCTCGCGAGCCTAATCAAGCTTAGTGACATGGGCTCGAGCTCGTTTAATAAACGAGCTTAATATTAAGTTCGAGTTCGGTTCGGGCTCGTTTAAAATCGATTTCAAGTCGATCTTTAACGAACCAATTATGAATAGTTTGACTCGTTTGCACCCCTACATATAATGATCACAACAAGGGTTGGCCAAGAATCAATTAAACATTTGCACCATTTTCATGTATATGTTTGTCATGTTTCTTATTGTATTTCATTGCATTTGTATATATATATATATCATATAACTCAAATTTCACGACACAATAGTATTTGCACATATTTTCAGGGATTCAATGTGTTATTTTATGTTTGTTGACATGAATTTGATGCATGTCAAATGGAAGGTAGGAAAAAAAAAAGGAACAAATGACGGGTATGAGTGCTAGAGACTGGAAAATGAAGAAATGGATAATATTGGACAATAATAGGATGGCAAAAAGGTGAAGAAAACAAAGTTGTGTACTTTCTTATTAGTTACATTGTAGTTTTCGAGTTCTACATGTCCTAACAAGCTAAACCACTATGTTGATTGGATTGGTTTGATGATTTAACTATGTACAGGATTGTTTCGTGAGATTGTTACATATATTTAAAACACTTAAATTTGCATGATTTTCACTGTCACATCCAAAAATTTTACATCAAATTTAAACTTTTCCGATCTTAAATAAAACCAAATAGTATTTGTTTACAAAATGTTTTCAAATCATTATTCATCAGAGTGTCCCAATAACCGGATCATAAGGATGAGGAACGGTATGGTCACGCCTTCGCCTTGCTATGATCTTCTGAAGTATCTGAAATAATAAACTGAAAACTGTAAGTCCAAGGGCTTAGTGAGCTACCCCCAAAATCCCAATACCACACTGATAATACCATCTCAGTAACAGACAATCAACAACATGCATATTGGGCCATCGTCCTGACTTGACCGCCCTGCAGGGCTACAGTCTATCTGAATCTGTCCCAAGCCTTCGGCATGACTGGACCGCCACGTGGGCCTACAGTCTCCTCTGACCGCTCATAGTGTGTGTTGGTCTTCAGCACAAAGGAGGACCGCCTCAACCCAAGCAACAAACAAATAACTCATGTGCGCATAGCTAACATATACTAGCTTATACAACATCAAACATATTTATTTCACTGACCATCAATCATAGCAATCTCTCATAACTAGAGCACCAACCTAGTAGGTCACTAACATACCCATCCCTACGGATCATAAGAGCATAGCATACTGTCTATCCTGATTCAGACCTAACATGTCATAACCACATGCAGCATACATAACAATAACAACTAAAGGGTCAGCCTTGGTGCCTTAGACCCTATTGATATAATGAGGATAACTCACATTGCAGATGTCGACTCGGTAGATGAACCCCAACCCTCGAATCATTGTCAAAAACCCCACCACCTATTACCATAATATAATCATGCCCATAAGTTCCCAACCTTTCAAGGTACCCCAAAGCCAACTAATCAAACCCTGGTCCAATTCAGAGTCATCAGTCAAGGTCAACAGTCCATGTCAACCCTAACTCGCCAAGTACCCCCGACTACTCGTCGAGTTCCTTAAAGTACTTGTCCACTCACCGAGTCACCGGAGTGACTCATTGAGGTCCTTCAGTTTACGATCGAAACCCTAAGGCCACTCGTCGGATTCCTTCTTGCAACTCGACGGTTACACACGCATACATAAATTGGCGAAACCTCAATCGACTCGCCGATTTGTTCATACAACTCGTCGAGTTCTATGGCAATCTTCATCGGACTCTTCGAGTTATTCATCCAACTTGTCGGGTCCAGGTCTATCTTCATATGACTCGACGAGTCGACCTTGCGACTCGCCGAGTTCCTTCAGTCCTTAAGCCATACAGACTCTTTTAAGTCATGCAATGGCTCCAAATTACAGATCCAAGCTTCTAAGGCATGCATTTCACGTAAAGTCGCAAACTTTACGTGCATGCATGGCTAAAAAGGTTCTTAATGTCAAATCCAAGCTCACAATGGGGGTTTCATACTCAAGGAGGCTTCATACATGACCAAGCTCGGAGCTTTATGACTCTAGAACCCAAGGAGGGTCCAGATCTTAAGTTACAACTTTAGATCTAGCGCATATCCTACACTATCATCTCAATCCAACCATAAAAACCCTATATCTCAACCAAATGAGGTCTAGAAGGAAAATGAAGTAAAGGTGACGACTTGATACCTCCAAATGATGCTAACTGAGGTAGATTTCTGATTCCCACGCCTTCCTTGCTCCTAGTCTCTTGCCCTCCAAGTTCTTCCTTTCCAAAAACCTCCATTCTAAAGCTTAAGACAGATAAGGATGAAGCATCACACGAATTAGGGTTTTCTGAGCTCTCGAGGGACTATAAATAGGCCAAAAGAGGCTTATGATTCCTTAAATAGGGTGCAAAACCCCGGGATCTAGGGTTTCTTCTGCCAACTCCTACTCGTCGAGTTTTTCATGGACTCGGCGAGTAGGCCACTAAATACGCGATCCCACCCCGCTGCTACTCGACGAGTAGGGCAACCAACTCGTCGAGTAGATCTTAAAACCAAATAAACTTTCATTTAAATCAATACCTAAGAATCGGGGCGTTACATCCACTTTCATGATTTGATTGTTTTAATTTTCATGCAATTCGGTTAGGGTCATGATGATAATTACTAATCAATTTAGAATCCCTAATTGTTCTTTTAATTGGTTTAGAGGGCTCCATATGGGAAACGCCCACCTTCGATTTGTAAGGTGACATTACATAAACGTCGTGACCACGCCAAAACACTCCCCCCCCCCTCTCTACTATTTCATGTTCGTCTTTTATCTTCGTTTTTGTTGCCATCAGTTGCCTCCATAACGAAGTTTAATGCCATTTTCTTCTATCTTCACCTTTTCTTCTTTCTATACTGATGTGGCTTTTTGAACGGGGTTACCCATACAGAAGAGCCTTAAACAATAAGTAATACATTCAATTTTGTGGTAGACAAAGTCATATTATGAAATCATGTTATGCATTTAATAGGTAATACACTCAATTTTGTAGTAGGCAGAGGTATATTTTAAAAGGAAAATGACTTAAAATAACAACCAATAACCCAAAATTTATTCTTTAGGTCATTAAACTTTTAATTATATCCAATAAAAAATTTATCGATTTTTACCGATAAAAATGGCAAGATCACAAAAGAATACAACGTTAATAATGGCTATCAATTGAGATTTGAGTAAAACGATTACTAGAAGCTTTTGGTTACATCTGACACGCACAATAATAGTGTTCGTTGTCATTTTAATCAATAAAAATCGTAATCGTTAGTATTTTAAAACCAAAATAAAAAATTAATTTCTTTATTAGATACAATTAAAAATTAGTAACCTAAGAACAAATTTTATGTTATTGGTAACCATTTTATCATTTTCCGTATTATGAAATCATGTCATGCAACTATGTCTAGAAACATGGCTAAAAATGGGAAAAAAAAATCATTCAACATTATAAACTCTTCACTTTAATCTCAATCCAAAAGCTTACTTTTTTTAACTTTGGAAAAATAACTCTTAAGGGTAATTAACTTTTGTGTTTGTACTTATTTGGTCCATTATTTTTTTTTGTATTTAATATACCATCGAACTTGTTGTTTGCGTTCACCAAAACCCTTTTGACTGGCTTTTGACCTGTGATAGTCGGTCAAAAGGTTATGGTGAACACGAACAACAAGTTTGATGGTATATTGAGGACAAAAAAATAAGGAAAGGGACCAAATGAGAACAAATGCAACAGTTGGTTACCCTTCTGATTCATTTTCCTTTTACTCATTTACAGCAAATCTCACGACATCCCCTCCTGATATTAATAACTTTATGAGATTCATTATTGTTTCTCTTCAAAACATAACCAACGAAAGAACATTATTCATACATGTACAACTTTGTAATGCACTTGAATATTTATTAGGAAAATCTTGACTAAGCAGACGCATTTCATAACTACATTTACATTAACAATCAAATGATGTATCGTATCATGGATTCTAAACAAGTCTACACACGAGTTGAATCACAAGTGCTGTGATTTTTTAGTTTACTTAGCTTTAAGATCGAATTAATGAGATAAGATACAACATCAATATGTACAATATCATGCTGCTTTTGTAGATATATCACCATAATATACCTTCAGATAAACGTTTATGCTGATAAATATACCTCTCATACACAGTTATATCCTTTTACAGAGAGGTGTTGATAGCTAACCACAATAAACATAACGCAGACCATGTTTTAACAAGATTACCCCTTTGAAACGCTCTTCAAATACATTATAGCCAAAAGATATTGCAATCTTTGATAATTTTGCAACTTTAATTTCATTTAAATTTTCGGGAAAAATGACTCAGGAGGGTAAATAACTGTTGAGTTCGTTCTCATTTGGTAACTTTCCTTTTTTTGTACTCAATATACCATCGAACTTGTTCTTTGTATTCACCATAACCCTTTAATCGGCTATCACAGATCAAAAGAGTTATGGTGAACGCAAACAACAAGTTCGATGGTATATTGAATAAAAATAAAAATAAAAATAAAAAATAAAAAATAAAAAAATGAACCAAATGAATACAAACTTAAAACTTAATTACCCTCAAGAATCATTTTTCTTTTTAACTTTTTGTAGCTTTTACCTTTTGGTTTTTATCTAATTTCACATATTCAAAAGCTAAACTTTTTTTAGAACACTTCAGCAAAATTAAAAACAACTAACTACCAGTTAATTTAGCCAAATTCACATGAGTCTTTCATTAAAGTTCATGTCAATCTTTTGATACTAATTCAACCATTTCCTAATTAATCAGACATCATAATTTAATTTAATTTACCAGAGTTTGCAAATCATCGAAGACACAAACTAAACCATTAAAGATAAAACAACAATCAATCTTAATAGATAAATATCTAAATGAATAAACGACTCAAAAACCATTTAAAAACACAACCTAAAAATAAAATAAAAAAACAATTCTTCAAATTCAAGCTTACAGAATAAAATTACATCATACTTTCTTTTCTTAATCCCATCACCAATCCATGAATTTACTGCACATAATTGGCAAAATATATATATATATATATATATATATATAATATATATATATATATATATATATATATATATATATCAATTTACATTTTAAAAAATTATTTTAATTAAAAAGGAGACTATTTAAATGGTTAAGGCTTGCTTACCTCAGCATCTTCAGCACCAGATTTGGTGATTTCCATTTTTTGGTCATCTACAGATATACAAATACACATGTGTGTTACGATTTATAAAAGTTTTTTTTTTTTTTTTTTCTAATTTTTAAGAAAATGAAAATTATTTCAAAATTACCTCCATCTTCAGGAATATCAGAAGTCCACAAAGTGAGATTGTCTCTCAGAAGCTGCATAATTAAAGTGCTGTCTTTGTAGGATTCCTCACTCAGGGAATCAAGCTCTGATATAGCTTCATCAAAAGCTTGTTTCGCCAGGTGGCATGCCCTGATTCATTATAAAAAACAAAAAACTCAAAACCCTAAATTCAATATTCAAATAAAAGTTTAAAGAAAAATAACAACATACCTTTCAGGAGAGTTCATAATCTCATAATAAAACACTGAAAAGTTCAAAGCCAAACCCAATCGAATAGGATGAGTTGGAGATAAATCAGCTTCTGAAGTAGTTGAAGCCAACTACAATCATCAAAAAAATATATAAATAAATAAATAAATAATTAATTAATTAAGTATTAAGAAAACAGGATATAGATTATTAGATTACTTGATAAGCCTTCAAAGATTGATCAGCTGCTTCTTTCTTATCATTACCAGATTTGAACTCTGCAAGATACCTATAATAATCACCTTTCCTGTAATCAAATCAAAAACATTAAAACAATTAACAAATGAATTGAATTTATTGGTTATATGTTTATTATATTTATGCTTACATTTTGTAGTAGAAAACGGTGGATTCACCAGCAGAAGAAGATGGAATGAGATGTTCATCAATCACAACCATGATATCACTACAAATGTCAGATAACTCAGTTTCAACTTTTTGTCTGTATTCCTTAATCCGTTTTACATTCACTTCATTGCCTCTTGATTCCTCTTTTTGTTCAATTGAAGACAAAATTCTCCATGATGCCCTTCGTGACCCCACAACGTTCTTGTACCCAACTGAGAGTAAGTTCCTTTCTTCAACAGTCAGTTCCACATCCAACTTTGCTACCTTCTTCATAGCATCCACCATTTCTGTATAAAAACCATTAACAAGGTTAGATGCAAGAAAAAAGGTAGAAATTAGAACTTGGATTAACTTCTATATGTTCAAGATGTATGATTATATAATTTAGCACAAACAATTGATTAGATTCTTTATCTGATAGCGATTCGTGTTTTTTTCTCTAAACTCGTATGAATATATATCGATTTTAAGCTGGTGACAGGTTATGATTAAGATAGCAATGCTTCGCTACTTTATTATATGTCGCTTTTAAACCACTGAGCACTAGATGCTAGTTTCTCTACCTTATCGATGTACTTTTGAACAGATCTAATGAGAATACTTAGGAGTTAAGCCCTCCAATGTAGGATACAGAACTTGCTTATAGATTGTGTAGCCTAATTAAAATCTCAAATCATCAACCAAATTTGCTGAGAATCGAAACTTCCCCAATTAGATTTCGAAGTAGGCAGGAAGTATACATCAGATTTAGATGACAAAATACGGAATCGAGATTAAAACAACGGATCTAGAAAAAGAAAGAACAAGAAAGGTTATCACCGTCGTAGCGTTCGGCTTGCTCGGCAAGCTTGGCGACATAGATGAAGTTTTCACGTTCAGTTGAAGAAGCCATGGCCGCCGATCTCAAGCACACCGACTAATTTCTCTCTCTACTTTGTCGAAATGAGTGGAAAGCGGAGAGATTCTCGGTGGACTGGTTTTTTATGTGTGTAATAAATTTGGGGGAAATTCATCTTGACCACAAAACTTTACCTTTTTTCTATTTCAGGCACGAATCCTTTAGAAATATAAATATGGCCACGAATCCTAAAGAGGCTGAATGCTTCTATTGCCATGAAAAGACGTACTGGAAGCGAAACTGCCAAAAGTACTTGCAAGATGTTAAGGATGGGAAAGTGAAACTCAACAATACAGGTATTTACATTATATTGTCTAATAACTCACCATATTATAATTCTTGGATCCTTGATACAGGTTGTGGTATTCACATATGTTCTGATTTGCAGGACTAAGAAGAAGTGAGAATGTGGAGTATGGAAAGATAAACTTGATCATGGGGAATAGGAAAGTTTCACTTGTCTTCAAGATTGGAGTTTATTCTTTGTTGCTACGTAGTGGGTTAAGATTAGATTTGAATAAATGTTGTTACTCGTCTGAAATGACGAGAAATATTATTTCCTTTCACGGTTTGTACAAACAAGGATTTACTTTTTCATTTGATAATGAATGTGGTGGTATTAATGCTTTCTATAATAATGTTCTTTATTTTAAAGCAGTGCCTTGTGATGGTGTATATAAAATTGTGTCGGTTGTAGATAACCTAGGAAATAATGTGTTGTGTATTGATTCTTCCGCTAGCTTGGATTAAGCATCATTATAACATTATCGTCTTGGACATGTTAGCAAGAAACGTATAGGCCAACTTCAAAAGGATGGAGTCTTTGAGTCATTTGACCTAAAGTCGGATGATAGTTGTGAATCTTGTTTACTTGGAAAAATGACAAAGTCACCCTTCACTGGTACCTATACTAAGGGTGAAGGTTTGTTGGATCTCGTACACACAGATATGTGTGGACCCTTCAGAACCGCCACAAGGGATGCTAACCGCTTCTATGTGAATTTTGTTGATGATTATAGTAGATATGGCTATGTGTACTTAATCAAGCATAAATCAGAAACCTTTGAAAAGTTCAAAGAGTTTAAACAGGAAGTGGAGAATTAGCTGGGCAAGAACATTAAGATGTTTCGATCTGATTGAGGTGGTGAGTATCTTAGTACAGAGTTCCTTGACTATCTTAAGGAATGTGGGATTGTTTCATAATTGACACCTCCCATTACACCACAGCTTAATGGTGTGACTGAGAGGTGTAATCGAACCTTGTTGAACATGGTTTGTTCCATGATGAGTCGAGCTTCGCTACCAATCTCATTTTGGGGGTATGCCTTAGAGACTGCCGCCCATATCCTTAATTTAGTCCCTACCAAAAAGGTTTCCAAAACACCTCACGAGATGTGGACTGGGAAAGTTCCTAATTTGGACCACATCATGATTTGGGGTTGTGAGGCTTTCGTGAGGTGCGAGACTCACGATAAGCTCGAACCTCGGAGTGAGCGGTGTATTTTCATCAGTTACCCACAGAAATCCTTTGGTTACCTCTTCTATAGACCCAGTGATAATGTGGTCTTTGTGGCAAGGATGGGATTCTTTCGCAAGAGAGAGTTCATAAGCCAAGAAAATAGTGAGAGGCAAATTGAACTTGAAGAAATTCAAGAGTCAAGTGGTGAAGGAACCTCAAACCCTAGCGGTCAACCTGAGGAGGAAACTCCTGTTGATCCAACTGACGAGTCTGTACCTCTAAGGCGTTCCACGAGAGTTAGGAATGCACCTGAGCATTACTATGGTTTCCATATTAGTGCGGAAGGTGATACACTTATCAGTGATAGTACACTGGTAAGTTTGGATGAACCTAACAACTACACGGAAGCCATGGCAGGCCCCGAGTCTGCTAAATGGAAAGAGGCTATGGATAGCGAGATATAGTCCATATATGACAATCAAGTTTGGAACTTGGTTGACAATGTACCATGCCGTAAGACAGTCGGGTGCAAATGGATCTTCAAGAAGAAGACCGATATGGATGGGAATGTACACGCTTATACAACGTGACTGGTTGCAAAGGGATTCTCTCAAACTCTGGGAGTTGACTATGATGAGACCTTTTCACCACTAGTAAAGATTAAGTCTATTAGAGTTATGCTAGCCATTTTTTCATTTCATGACTATGAAATATGGCAAATGGATGTCAAAACCGCTTTCCTTAATGGAAAGTTGGCAGAAGATGTTTACATGAGTCAGCCAGAGGGTTTTTTCAGTACAAAGTACCCTAATAAAGTGTGTAAGCTTGATAAATTCATCTATAGATTGAAACAAGCACCTCGCAGATGGAATCTTTGTTTCGATGAGCAAGTCAAAGAGTTTGGTTTTTTTGAGGAACGAAGATGAGTCCTGTGTATATGTCAAGGCTAGTGGGAGTATAGTTAGTTTTTTGGTATTCTATGTTGATGACATATTACTAATAGGAAATGACATCCCAACTCTGCAGGAGGTGAAGTCCTGGCTTGGGAAGTGTTTCTCTATGAAGGACATTAGAGAAGCTCTCTATATCCTATGGATAAGGATTTTGAGAAACAAGAGTAAGAGACTAATTAGACTTAGTCAAAGTACCTACTTGGATAAGGTGCTGAATAGGTTCAGCATGTAGGATTCCAAGAAAGGAGAGTTACCGATCCAGAGTAATGCCAGACTGAGTAAGACTCAGAGCCCGAGTATAGAGGCTGAGATAGCTGAGATGAGTTGAGTATCGTATGCTTCCGCTGTAGGCTTGATCATGTATGCTATGACTTGTACTCGTCCTGATGTAGCCTTTGCTTTGAGCATGGTCAGCAGATACCAGGGGAACCCTGGCAATGCTCAGTGGACTGCGGTAAAGAACATTCTCAAGTACCTGCGGAGGACTATGGACTGGGTCCTTACCCTCGGTGGGAGTGATGACTTGAGAGTAGTAGGGTATAGTGATGCTAGCTTCCAGAATGATATGGATAATTTCCGCTCTCATTCAGCCTAGGTCTTTACCTTAAATAGAGGAGTAACTACTTGGAAAAGTTCCATGCAAGAGACAGTGGCTGATTCAACATGCGAATCATAGGACATAGCAGCAAGCGAGGCAGCAAAGGAAGCGATATGGCTGAAAAACTTCATTGGAGATCCTGGAGTAGTACCGGCTTTAAAGGAGCCTATGGAGATTTTCTGGGATAGTGAAAGTGCAGTTGCCTTAGCCAAGGAACCAAGGGATCATGGGAGATCCATACACATCGACAGAAAATACTATTTCAGTAGACATCAAATAGAAGAAGGACTCCTCGTGACAAAGAGGGTCTCATCGGATGAGAACCCAACAATCCCCTCATGAAGGGACTGAGTAGGGTTAAGCATCTTCAGCATGCAAGGCACATTGGGCAAAAGGATGATATTAGTTTTAGAAATTAGATAACTTTTGAAATTTGTAAAGTGTAATTAACATTTCATGATTAAATAAAAGTTGTTATTTATTTATAAGTAAAGTGTTACTATCTTCTATTAATCGTTTACTATCATTTCAATTTTGCATTTTTTGACTTCTAGAATAATTATGTTATGGTATATCATATTATTTAAACCATACACAGTCAATCATACTTTCGAAGTAGGTAATGAGGCAAGACTGTCATGAATGGGCCTACACTTTGTCTGGGACAAAGGGGTTGCAGTGTTCATGAGTACTCCTAGAATAGTGATTCGAGTATTGGATTCAACCCACACTCACTTGTATCACTTCATGGAATTTATCTCGAGTGATCGTGAGACGGTAATATCATATAAGTCTTCAAACCTAGAGATATGAGTTATTGACTATGAGTTAGTTATACATTGATTGTACGAAAACGCATTGGTAACTCGATGTTATAAACGTGTTTTTGTGTGTGATTCAACAAGTAGTTAGTACAAGTATATGAGTCGAAGTTTATCTGCTCCTTCTAGTCCTTGGAGGATTAGAAGCGATATATGGTCCCCTCGATGATTTTGTGTTGACCTATGTATCGGGCCCGGTCAGAACCAAATTGATGTGTTCAATTTAGTTTTATGTCAAACAAATTGGAAATCGGAAAAAAAATGTTGGACAATAAGTACGACATTATTCCATGTATTTGTTCGGTTGATATTTTGAGAGCGGAGGATTATATGATCACTTATCATAAATGGAAGGTTATCTTAGTTTCGTGAGACTTTGAAAGAGCTACGATTGTTTATCGGTTCCTGAAGACATACTTTCAGTTATAGTTATTAGACTTATCCAAGTGGGAGACTATTGGATAAGGTGTCTAAGTCCATAAATATTTCTTGTATGTACTTGACCCGATTGACATGGTCCATTTGAGTTGCATGGCATCATGATAATTGGATAGACAAAATGAGAAAATGACACTTATGATTTGTTAATATATTATAAGTTATAATATATTAATATGAAATCATATTATTTAATTAGTATTGATCAAGAATTAATTTAGAATTAATTTTGTGATCAAATAGAGACACCCGGGAGTATGCCATAATCCCTCAAACTAAGACTCTGATAACAACTTGAAACGTCCCAAAATTTAAGACTAAAAATTCGACTTTTAATTTAATAAAACCATTATCCAAGACAACATCATCAAAACCATAGTGAATCAAAGTGTATCAATAACATCAAAATATATCAGAGTAATATAAAATGTGGAGCGATGTGGTGTGTGCACTGCAATCATCTTGGGCTCTTCCCCTTCGAACCAGAAGTACTTGAAACATAAATTGAAAATCGTAAGCACAAAGTTTAGTGAGTTCCCAAAAAATACCAAATACCAGACATATCAACATATAATGGGCCCCTCCCGTCAAGGGGTCCCACCTGGCATCGAGCCCCGCTCGGTAAATAGATTTGTCAATCATTGGGCCCTGCCTGATATACATATAAACATATAAACACATAACACATGCAATAATCACAAATATACATAGCATATAGAATGGTCATCGGGTCTTGCCCGACATTGGGCCCCGCCCGATAAGCATACGAGCACATAACACATTCAAGACTCACGTAGACATCTAGCATCCAAATATAACAAAACCATGGGTTGAATAGGGTTGTGAACGAACCGAACGAACACGAATGGGGCTTGTTCATGT